TTCATACAAAGTGGTATTACAAGTGCATTATGTTTTTGTGAAAAGCAGAAATCACAAAATAATCTGAAAATTGTTAGCTGTTGGTTATACTCAGAAGTAAGAAAATGCTTTGCTATTTGATGATTCAATATGGCTTTGACCCAATTTGTGTCTGTATCTGATAGTGTTTCAGTTTTGCAGTCAGGCTTCTAGGGTCTGAATTACCTTCCAAAGAAAGTCTGCATTTGAACTCTATTTTTAAAGGGGCAGTAAGATTCTCTCCTTTTATTATCAAAAGTATAATATTATGGAATACAGACAGCACATAATTTTGAATCTTAATGGGTAACATACCTCCTTCTGGCATTTTAAATTGCTCTGATTTTGGCAGAATCTTCCCCTGGACATCAGGACCATCTCCGCATTCATCCCCAGTCTTTGACTGAGACAGCTTCTGGAGATCAACTTCCAGGTCGGGCACTGAAAAATACCAAAAGGATGTCGACTGGAGCAGCCAAATAGGAGTGATAAATAAGGAACTGATCCTTTTCTTTTCCTCGGTGTTATGCAATAAAAGCCTATAAGCTACTGTGGTAATAAATGTGAAGCAAAGATGTCCCACGTTTGTTTTCCTGTATTGTGATACCTTATCTTAAATGACGATCTGAGGATAAGTCTCAGCACACCTACATTGCTCATACTTTACCATTGTGTATTATAAACACACAGCTACCTAGGAAAACAGGACAGCCTCACGGAGAGCATTTTAATCGTAACTTCAATGTAATTTTCTGAAGGATTTGATCAATGTATCGGTGAGCCTATGACAAATCTTATGGTCCTGACACTCATCCCCTGTTGAGGTATCTTGAAAATGTTGGGGTTAAATTTTATTAAAGTAATTCTTAGATCCAAAGGCCCCTATATGTGACTTTCCATACATGAATGTCATTAAGAAAAAAAGTACGAAATATAACAGCAAAACCACTGTCTTCCAGTGGGAGTACGGGAACTGAAGTGCAAAGAAATTAATGGGCATTGTTGACAGTCATATTCTGGAAACCCCTTAACAGTGAATTGCTAAAATAATCCATGGCCCAAATTCTGTCTCTGATTAGTTTGAAAATGCTATCCGTTGAGAAAACAATTTCTGTTTCATGATAATCTTATCGTACTTGGAGCTTTCTAATTATAAAAATATTGAAACAACTTTTCAAAGCCCCCTCCATATCCTACTAATAAAGTTACCTGTACGCCAACATCCTGAGTTATCCACCTTTTACCAAACATACTGTCAAAAATATACATCAAAGGAAACAGTGGCTGTCATTCATTGACCTCTTTTCTGGAGTTGCTATCCTGCTTCACTGAACTGCGTTTTGTCCTGAGCCAATATCGAAGTACCTTATAGTACAGACACATTTGAGTATTAAGCATTTTTGAGCAAAATATCATTCACATTTTCTAAAATAGATGGTAGGAAGAATGCATACCTTGGAACAAAATACGAATTCCTTCTCCATGCGTCAAGTTTTCTTGGTAAGTCTCTATCTCTGAGCCTCAGTTTTCTTATTTATTTATTTTTATGTTTTGAGACGGAGTCTCGCTGTGTCACCAAGGCTGGAGTGCAGTGGTGTGATCTCGGCTCACTGCAACCTCTGCCGCACGGGCTCAAGAAATTCTCCTGCCTCAGCCTACTTAGTAGCTGAGATTACAGGTGTGTGCCACCACGCCCAACGAGTTCGTATATTTTTAGTAGAGACAGGATTTCACCATATTGGCCACGGTGGTCTCGAACTCCTGACCTCAAGTGATCCGCCCACCTCAGCCTCCCAAAGTGCAGGGATAACAGGGGTGAGGCACCACGCCCGGCCTCCATTTTCTTATTTATAGAATGAGGCTAAGATTCCTTTGCAAATGGGCTTTATTTGGGGTGTTATATGGTAGGGTGACTTGGCACTCCACATGCTATCAAAGGGTGCTTACAACACTGTGAACACCATGGCTGAGAAGATCTCACTGCAACGTCCTAAGAATATCAAGTTAAACTGGTGAAATAATGTACATTTTTATACAACCAATTAAATGGTTTCATCTGATTTAGGAACGACTATATTTTCAAGCATACAAAATGCATCTCAAAGAAAAAGAGAAGATTCATCATATCCAGGGACTGCAGGAAGCTGCAAACTATACCCATCACATTTCCAGCCTCTTGCAAAACTCTCAGCAAATGTTTGAGATCCTTTCCTGTTGTTTTCTTTCGTCCTGTTACTGGTCATGGCATAAGGCGTCATGCACACACAGGCCTCCTCCCCCCATAGACATTCTTTCTTTCCCTTCCCAGCACCTTGAATCTCAGCTGCACCCTGATCTTCTTCTCTCTTCTGACCAGGTGTATGATCCTGACTTTCAGTTGGTGGTCCTTCTTGTTGAGGCTCTGGCACACTGGGCTCCTGGGACAAGGGCGGGGACATGGTGTGTGCATGTGCAGATAAAAAATTCTTCTTATCAATGCATGTCAATAACATGAATATACAGATTACACAGATACTTCTGATCATATGTATGTTTAAAGACATGCTCCAACACTATCCCAAAACTATTCCACATACTTATTCTTCATTAAGTTACTCTTCCCATAGAGAGGTTACTCTGAGACCGTAACCCTCAATGGCGTTGGAAGCCATTTTAATTCATGTGGGGTTGAATGGGTGTAACGTGCTATGAATAAGCATGAGGAGGAAATCACCAGTCAAATCGAGGAACACAAGTTCACACATCCAGGCGAAAACAGTGTGTAGTCCTCTTGGGTTACTCTTTCCTTCATGAGATGCCATGATCATTTTTTATCAACGTGGGAGACCTTTATCAGTGTATCTATACTAGTTCAACAATAACTACCACACAAAAAACACTTCTGCTATTGGAAAAAATCGAACGTTAAGTTACTCACAGGCATAGGCCCAACCAGCTGAGCAAGTAGTAAACATCGTCTTGGTCTATATCTTCTTCCTCGCCAACTCATATTTCAGTCTGCAAACAGAACAGTGTGCACTTTGCGGAGGCTGAGGAGGATGGATCACCTGAGGTCAGGAGTTCGAGGCCAGCTTGGCCAAAATGGTGAAACTCCGTCTCTACTAAAAATACAAAAACTTAGCCGGGTGTGGTGGTGAGTGCCTTAATCCCAGCTAGTCGGGAGGTTGAGGCAGGAGAACCGCTTGAACCCGGGGGCGAATGCTGCAGCCAGCCGAGATCGCGCCATTGCACTCCAGCCTGGGCAACAAGAGCAAAACTCCATCTCAAAAAAACCAAACCAGACCAAACCAAACCAAAAACCAGAATACCGTGACTGGAAAAATGCACGTGAGTGGATACTACATTTGAGCACTTCCATGGCCAAATGCTAACTTGCAATTTTTAAAAATTTGGTAAGACATTGAAAGGTAAGTCAGAGGGCATGTATAAGTGCGTATGCCTTCTGAATCGAATACTTGCACAGCCACTTATGTTCGTCAAGCTAGCTGAGCAATGCCTTAGGGCTTATGGCAAGAGACGCACGGTATTTCCAATGAGGTTTGGTTTCACAACTGGACTCTCCATCGCGAGACATTTAGGAAAATACAGCTTGAGAATTAAAATTAAAGTGCCCATGGCTTTTGTCACACACCCTTTGCTAGGGCCATTTCCCCCCTAAAATCGAGTTTTGTTGGAATGCATAGCCCCTCCCACCCATTCGAACTTCCAAGATGGAGCTGAGAAGTTGCCACATAGCACTGGGCAGTCCTCACCGGGCGGGCACCTCTGCGGTTCATTATACAAACCTCGGGGTGGCGGTCACCAGTCCGGAGTGCTCCCAATTTCCAGGCCCCTTCCTTACCGCCCACGACATTCCAGGCCTGATGCCCCTTGAGGAGTCTGGAATTTGTCCTCTGTTGGAAGTTTCAGGCGTTTCTGGGACTGAAATACCACCAACAGCACCCCAGCATCGCCCCAGCTTCACCTAACCCCCGTCCCATTCCGAGGCCCTGCTTCTTCCTTCGTTCTGACCCCGACAAGACAAGAAGGCCCATAGCTGCGGGGCCGCACGAGAAGGACGACGACATCAAGCCCCTTCTCACTCGGAGTCACCAATCATGCGCCCCGACCCTCTGGAAGCCCGCTGGCTCCTCCGCACTCTCACTCACGCTTCAACTCCCAGCTGGAGCGACCTGTGGACCTACTGGCTGCGTCTCAGCAGGGGAGAAAGAATCCAGACCTCAGGGACCCGAGCTGCAGGATCACAACTCCCCGGCGTTCACCATACGCGAAGGGCCAATGGGAAGACGCCCAATGAATATGCGCACTAAGGAGGCACCAAAGGAGCATGCGCAGTGAGGTCCCCTCTTGCCTTAAGAGCCGCACTGCGCTTCCTTGTCTCCCCATGCCCTGTCCTCTGCTCCTTCCAAGGTCCCCACCAAGGACTTTGGAATCCATCCTCTCTGTGTGGTATTTTTTATGCCTCTGAGACTGAAATACTGCAAATAATGTCACCCTTCAACTCATTCCGTGTTCATCTGACCCTCCTCCCCACTATGCCCTTACTTCCTCCCCCGCCCAGGACCCCACAACAGCAAGGCCATGGTGATGTCGCTGCCTTTTAGTAGAAGGATGAGGATCTATATGAGGCCATGGACCGAGTGGTCCAACCTACGGGAAGCCCTTCTGCTTTCCCTCCCACTCACTGACACTTCAACTTCTGGGAGGACCGCTCTGCTGACCTACCAGCTGTGTCATAGTTGGCAAGAAAGAAGTCATGACGTTTCCTTCCACAGCTCTGCAGGGATAGAAGACAGACAGCAAGTCACATGGGCAGCAGGAACTTGCTTAGCAAGGGGCATGCCCACTGAGTCTGCCACTTGCAGGGTCGACCATGGTTTTCCTGCTGTTCTCATACCCGCATCCACAGGGTGTTTGTAGTGGAAAGAAAGGCACTTAAGAGAGCATTTGTTTTTCTTTGATCAAACAATCTCATGCATTGAGAAACGTTGGGAACACACAGTCCTATGTCACCCTTAATGGAGGATGTGTCTCAGAAAAGCCTGTTGTGAAAGAAAGAAACTATTTTTATATCTTTATTTATCAGTGCTTTTTTTTTTTTTTTTTTTTTCTCAGACAGGGTGTGGCTTTCTCTCCCAGGCTGGAGGGCAGTGAGATGGCAATACCTCACTGAATCTGGAGTCTGGATCTCTTGGGCTCAAATAATCCTCATACTGAAGCCTCTCAAATGGATGGTACTACAGGTGTGAACACCACACCTGAGCAATTAATTTATTTTTTAGAACATTGTCTCAGTCTGACGCCACGCTGGTCTTGAAGTTCTGGGCTCAAGCGATCATCCCACCTTGACCAATTTTTACACATGCTTTGATTAATCACTTTTTTCCTCTGGTTCTCGGTTTTCTGCCATGCTTCTAATGAATGGAATGGAATAAACTCTTCTGCAGACTAAATATATTCACACATGCTTAATTTTGGTTTTTTTTTTGGGGGGGGGGTGTGTTATTGCACATTTAAATCTCTGGGCTAGTGAGTGATTTGCCTGAATATACCTGTAGGCCATTCAGATCGTGTATTTTGATTCAGAAATATATGTACATATTGATGACAGGATCTAGGCGCAGTCTCCTGTGACATGATGCAAAGCAGTGGTGACTAACTGGATCATATACTGTACTCTCCAAATATCAGCTAAATAGCCCGTTCATAAGACAGGGCTGACATTATTTGCATAGTGCTGTAAGGGAGAGCACTACCTCGACAGAGGCACTAGTGTGTCAGACGTCGAAGGGATTTCAGTATATTTATTCTGATTTTGAAATCTAGTGTAAAGTGGGTCTTTTAAAGTGGGGGATTGTTTGTTTAGAGTTAGGTAGGAATCATAATGATATAGGATTGGTGGAGCCAAGAAGACAAAAATTTTTAGGCAACAGTTCAATGAGTTTTGGGATTGAAAAATGTCATTTGACACTTTTGACTGAAGAGTTGATGAATCTTTCAGGCAGTTGCTGAAATGAACAGTAAAGTTCTTTGCAACTTTTATTTTCCTAGGCAACAGATTGCTGTATTAGTAAAGTTATGTTGATGAAGCCAGTGGAGTATAAGCTCTCCTTAATGTAGACAGTAAGCTGTGCGCATGATTCCTGTTCTTATTACTCATGTATTCTTTGGCAGTTTAATGTGGGAAATATTATATGGAAGGGAAGGATAGGAACGGGGCCCTGACCAGAATGCAGCCTTTTATAAATAAGATATATTGCTGAAATGACGCCTATATATATCATGCAGCTGGCCTTCTTTTAGGGCAATACCTTGAGTTGGAAAAGAAAGGTGGCTCAATCTCTCTCTGTCTCTCTCTCAAAAGCAACTTGAGTAGGAATCGTGGTGTTTTAAATATTTTTTTTAAAAAACGAGAGCAGTTATAATCATGATCTCTTATTTAATTTACCTTTTATATTTTTTATCCTTTCTTGGCATGGACACTATTATTATTAAATTTTACTTTCTTTTTTTCCTTACTAAGTCCAGTTTTTAATATAGTGCACTCGGAAGTGCTCAAAGAATGGGAGATAGTGATTTCTGGACTCAGACTTTTTGTGAGCAACTATGGCTGTTGGTAGTGTTTCACGTTGTACTAGTTAGGGATCTGTAGAAGGACAGAACTAATAGGATAGATGCATATATGAAGTAGGGTTTATTAAGGAGTATTGACTCACACGGTGACAAGGTGAAGTCCCACAATAGGCCATCGGCAAGCTGAGGAGCAAGGAAGGCAGTCCGAGTTCCAAAACCTCAAAAGTATTGAAGCCAACATTGCAGCCTTTAGTCTGTGGCCAAAGGCCCGAGAGCCCCTGGCAGATCCTGGTGTGAGTTCAAGAGTCCAAAAGCTGAAGAACCTGGAGTCTGTTGTTCGAGGGCAGGAGGCATGCAGCACCGGAGATAGTTGGAGGCCGGAAGACTCAGCAAGTCTAGTTTTCCATGTTCTACTGCCTGATTTATTCTAGTGGCACTGGCAATTGATTAGATGGTGCCCACCCAGACCGAGGGTGGGTCTACCTCTCCCAGTCCACTGACTCAAATGTTAATCTCCTTTGACAACACACTCTCAGACACACCCAGGAACAATACTTTGCATCCTTCGATCCAATCAAGTTGACACTTAATATTAACCATCACATGCAGACCTGGACTTTAGTGATTCCTGAGTGGCCTCACTCCAGCCTCAAAGAGCAGGCTTGAATTTCTTGCCAAATTTGAACTTCCCGCTGCCATTCCTGTGGGCCATAACTCCGGACCTGCTGGATGAGTTCAAAGGATCATATTAGGATTGGGATTGGGAAAGTTGTGAAGGAGCCCTTGTGACAAACAGGAAGCAGCGGAAAGTATGAAAGACATTGTAGAGAGAAGAAGAGTTGCCTGATATGTGACCCTACAGCAACTCTCTAGCTGTTAAGGGAGGAAACAGAGCTGGGACCAACACAACCAGTCTACCTGTGAGGGGGCTCAATTTCCCACATGACCAGAGCTTCCCATCCTCCATGCACGGGAATCTATGACCAAACTTAGATTTCCACAGGATGGTGGGTGGGTGGGACAAATTCTACAGATTCCGAGCAGCTGGCAAGTTTCAGGGTACCAGAGTAAACACTGTCACCTGAGCTCAGATTGCTTGGTGGTTGAGGTCAAATTATTTGCTACCTACCACGTTCAGTGTAGCTCTCCCACTTGCCTCATAAAATGGGAGCACAGTAGGGGAATGGAGGTCCCTGTGCATTCACAGGGAGGTCCCCCCGAACGCAGGCAATGCATGGCGTTCACCTATGCTGCAGCCCAAGCAAAGCCTCCACATGATATCAAGAGGACAAGAAGTCACATGTACTGTCTGTCCCTTTTGCCTGTGAGTTCTCATCTCTCCAAGTAAGACTACACCTGTGCAAAACAGACACTGATATCTGCAGATGAAACACATATTTCATCAGTAACTCTATATTTTGTAGTAGCCTTTGTGGCCCATATCGAAGATGGGATTTTTGTCTAAAAACACTGAATTGCAAAGGAGGTGGACAAAATTGGGTTCTCATGTATATTTGCATATATTCTATAGCAACATTTATCAACCATTGGGGATGTTCTCTGAAAAAGCTGTAATCATTTCTAAACTGGTTTTTAATCCATGGTGGATCATAAGAATAATGTTGTCAGCCACAAACGGCATTTTAAAGAACAGAGATAAAATAAATTACTAAATAGCGTTCGCTGCATGTAGAATATACAAATACACTGCACATCCCCATGCACATACATATATTTACTTGCCTAGTCGACTATATGTAAACTGTGTATTTCTCACACAGTGTCATAAAAGAGTTTGAACGTCACTACTTTAGCGGTTATCAGACAAAATGTTTACAGGCCATTTCTATAGCCATCTGTGAAGATGATGGATTAAGACGTGCTCAGAATAAGTTCACTGTTGTCTGTAGCTTTCTACATAATGCTTGAAATGGCGCTCAGTGATGTTTAAATTGCTCAGTTTTACTGTGGGCATTTGACCCTCAGCAAACTCACTTGTGAACTCATGAGCTGGTGAGAAGGAAGGCTGATGAGTTGTGGGGCTTTACTTCCTACCATGTCTTTCTGCAGCTGCAGGGTGTGTTCATGTGTGTGCTTCTGCACTCGTCTGATGGTGCTTTGATATGTTCCCTTTTATTTCCCCCTTTATCATTGACTGTGTCTTATGGTTCCTATTATGCCCTTCATTCGCATCCAGTGACAGCGACATCTGTGGTATTCAGTGTTGATCCAATTTACACAAATTTTAAAAATATTTTCAAGCATGAATATTTTTTCTTACCAATTTTCCTTAAGTACTTCAAGGAGTCAAATGCAATTCAATATTAGTAGTTGATGTTAGATCATACTGAGCTATAATCCTGGAAAATTGCTGATCATACTAATTGTTGTTATGCCTGAGCTTTTATGTCACCATAACGCTTAGATAAATGACACAATGATCAACACATGGAAAGAAGGATTCTGAAATACTGACATCTTTAATTTCCAAACTTTACTTTAAGTTCAAGGGTACATGTGTAGGATGTGCAGGCTTCTTACATGGGTAAATGTGTGCCACGGTGATTTACTGCACACATCATCACATCACCCTGGTATTAAGCCCAGCATCCACGAGCTACTCTTCCTGACCCTCTCCCTCCTCCCACCCCTGCACTTCAGTAGGTCCAGTGTGTGATGCTTCTCCCACGTGTCCATGTGTTTTCATCATTTAGCTCCCACTTATAAGTGAGAACATCCGGTATTTGGTTTTCTGTTCCTGCATTAGTTTGCTGAGGATAATGGCTGCCACCACCATCCATGTCCCTGCCAAGGACATGATCTCATTCTTTTTATGGCTGCATATATTCCACGGTGTATGTGTACCACATTTTCTTGATTCGGTTTATCACTGATGGGATGGACATCTCAAATATCACAAAGACACGTGGTACTTGCTGTGAAAAATATCGCACTGTGGTGGGGCAGACAGACAGACAGAAGAGCAGTTGAAGTGCAAAGGAGAAACACAGGGAAGGAACCTGAGGAATAAGAAACAATTAATGTAGTGGCCATGAGACAGGAGAAAACAACACAATGTTTTAAAAAGAAAATCTTTCTCCATTGCCTTTGCCACTTATCTGAAAATCAACTTATTAGGTTTGTGAGTCTATTGCTGGCTCTATTTTGATCCGTAGATTTTCCCCCAATACCACACTGTCTTGAATACTGGAGAAGTAACACAATTGCCATATGGGGCTGG